CAGGGAGGCAGCTGGTTGAAATTTAACCACAATATTCTCGCTCCCCATTGTTTCCAGGGAGGCCCGATATTTCCACAACAGGATTATGGCATCTGATTAACTCGCTGAGACAACAATGAGGGGCTGGGATGGGCTTCCCCTTCTAGCTGCCAAAAGGGGAAAGTAAATACAACACCCTGATTTCAGGAGCGAGGGCTTGCAGGCCCCCCCCGGTTCCCCCCCAGCTGTGTGCCGGGGAGGGGTCCAGCAGGGCTCTGCTTGCACCCCCTCTGGCTCCTGAGGACCTTCTCAGGTAAGGCAGTGCCTTGGGATGCCCCTGCACACACAACTCTCTCAGGGATGTCCCCTCGCCAGCTCTTCGGTGGGCACAGGGCATGGGTCACTCCTAGGGATACACAGAGAGGCCAGGCTGGAACAGCTCGGCCAGAAGTCCAGCTCTGGCTGCAGAGCTGTGCTGGCCTCAGCAGGACCAAGCAACTTGGGCAAGAGGGATGCAGGCTGGGGAGCCAGTAGCACCCGTGGGCTTGGGATGCTGCTATCCAGTGGCCCCAGTGGACCATTTTCTTTGCAGGAGCTGCAGGCAAAGTGCAGTTGGCCAGAGGTGTCTCCATCAGGTTTTTGTACTCAGTAGCCACACTCCATCAGGTTTTCGTACTGGTTTTGGGTACCAGAGCCTCTGTGAAGTCCTGCTGCTGTGCAGGATGGTGAGGCTGTCCTGCTACTCCTGCACATGATGGAGCAAGAGGGTCTGGCCAGCAGCCCCAGGCCACCCCACTTCCACATCTGTTCAGCTGATCCTTCCAGTGGAGCATCCTTAAGGGCATCATCAACAGAGAGAGCAGAGGGGACGCGTCACAGCACCACTCCCCATCCCTGCCCCTGGCTTCCCAGGGCTGCAGAAGGGGCACAGTTCTATGTGCATCACGGGCACAGGAAAATTGGAGCCTGGGCTAGGACCACAGGGTCCTCCAGGCTGGTTCGCACTCCCACCAAAGGAATGAGCCCAGCTCCTCACCTTGCTCATCACTGCCATGAGGTAGTGGGGAACAGGATCATCTGGGGTGGTGCTGGGTCTGAGGTGCAGCACATCCCCAGGCAGAAGTGCCCTATGTCTGCCGGTGACCAAACCCAGACCTCCAAATAACCTCTGCAGGCTGCCAGCATGCAGTGTGCATGTCACACACATCTGTCCCCCTCCCAGCAGCTCTGGGCTGACAGCAGCCTTGCCCAGCCCTCACTGGTACAACATTCATGTCCCACAGAGGCCCAGGGCTGCAGGCAGGGTGTTGGGTTTGTCTGTGAGAGCAGCTCCTACCCATGCAGGAGCCCCAGCATCCTGCATCAGCTCTGGCCACAGTGAGCAGTGACAGTGTCCTGTCACTGGGTGCAGATTCCATCACCTCCCAATGCAGCAGGGACCTGCTGGGCTGGCCTGGCTCCTGCACGGGACGTGGGACACAGGAGAATGACTCCCACTCATTAACAGCTCTGTGATGATGAAGAGCAGCCCCCCAGGAACTGCCCCAGCTCCAAGCACCCCTGGTCCTGCCCCAGCCCTGCTGCCCTGTGCTGGTGGCAGGGGCGGCTCTGCAGCTGGGAATGCTGCCCCAGCCCTCAGCAACCCCTTCCAGGGGCACTGCAGCAGATTGTGGGAGCACCGCTGCCTACGGCATCGGCATTCCCAATACCAGCCTGTGTCGCTGCCAGGCAAAGCCTGCTGGCACATGGGGCCAAGTGGGACAGGAGCCCCAGGTACGATAGGGCAGCCAGGGCTGGGTGTGCGGGGAGGGGGCTGGAGGCTGC